AGAGTCGTGAAAGGCGCCTGGATGAAGTTGCCTCGACTGTTGCCCTTGTAGCCTTTCATCTTAAAGTCACGGGTGTGCTTCATGCGCTCGTTCAACGCAGAAATATCCTCGTTGACACCCACAGAGTATGAGCGGGCTCGCTTGACTCTAGCCCGTGCAGCCCCCTTGCCATCCTCTTTTTCAGTCGGCGAAGAGGGTCTACTTTGGGATGTCTGCGCACTCCTCTGCTCATTGACATGGAGGAATTGCTCAAGCGTGAGGGTGTGCACTGGCGCATCGATGCCTGTCTCACTGACGAGGAAGTCGTGGTAAATGACGGGAACATGGTCTTTGGTGAGTTGAACATCTGCAACGATTAGTTCAGTTCCAGTAGGCAGCACTATCATGTCTTACCAAACTACAACATGTTAGCGTAGCACAGAAAAATCTGACAAGTAAGACATACCTCGACGTAAGAAGCTCCTAGGTTGGCAGCAGCAATGAATGACTGTGTTACCATCAGTTCCGCTCGCCATTCTCAAATGCAAAGACCATACCTGGAGGGTATTCTCGCCAAGCTGCAACGACTTGCGATCGGCCATGTTTTTGCCCAAACCTTCACAAAAGTTAGGAAGTGACGGGGGTTGAAAAGGGAACCAAAGACCAAATCACCTCTGTGTCCAATGACCATCGTCGACGTCGCCGCCATACTCTTCCAATAAGTATGGTTCTCCGTGATGGACAGGTTTGGGTGAGAGAAGGGCGTGATGATGAGGAAGTTGAAATTGACAGATCCAATCACGTCAAGAGTATTTGCAGCGACGATCGGCACGCTGACATCGCCCTTGAGTGTCATTCTGTTAGATCCCACGTTGGGCTTGATGCTCGAAAGCAAAGCCACGGCGCGGCCCACTACGCGCTCTTTCGAGCCGGCATAAGTGGGTACAATGTCAAACAAAAGCTTGACCTTGGCTACGTCCTTGGTGTTGAAAGTAATGGGGTCAGTGCTGATGTTCTCTTGAACAGGTAGATCAATGACGGTTGGCTCTCCACTCGCTCCATGAGCTGAGACAACTACCGAGAGGGCCGTATCGAGCTGAGTTGCATGTGCCTCAGTAATTGGGATATCATCAAGCTTGACTGGCTCAATGTGTTTCCTCATGTCCATACTTCCAAGGCTCACGAGGAGGAGGGTCTCATCCTTCAAATAACGGTGACCAAAGGTTTTGACCGGCTCAGGAACGCGCTCTTTCGATGCGCCATTCGAGCGTCTCTCCTCGATGGAAGAGTTTGGAGGAGACTCAGGGCGGGTACTGACGTCGGGCTGCTTGGAAGAAGCAGGGGGCGGCGTAACTGCTGCGAGAGCGTTGGCAATATCCAAGTGGCCACGCAATGCAGCATGCTCCTTTGGCGTCCAGCCCGAAAGGTCCTGTCTCTCCAGCTCTGCCCCGGCTTCTATCAAGAGTTCTGCGACTGGCAAGTGGCCGTCGACGCAAGCAATGAAGAGTGGCGTCCAGGCGAATGCCTTTTCTGGAATGTTGAGATCCGCCCTTTGATCGGCAGAGCCATCGATGAGCGCTTTGGCACATTCCGTGTGGCCATATCGGGCTGCGACGTGGAGAGCAGTCTCGCCTTGTTGGTCTTGATAGTTGATGTTGATGTCAGCTTCGACCAGAAGTTTTACGATCTGGACGAAATTTGACTTTGTGGCCATGGCCAAGACGGCCCCGGACTTGGAGACGGATTTTCTCCTTGATATCTTCTCGTCAGGGGACATGTGCCAGTTCTCGGAATCCAACAGCAACTTGGTTGTAAGGGGATGGCCTCCGATGACACTGAGATGCAAAGGTGCGTAGCCCTCTAGATCTTGCCAGGCCGGCGAATCAATTCCTTCGGTCACGTTGAACTGACCCCATTGTTGCATGTGCTGAATGACGATCCGGCAAATGATGACGAATCCATGCTGGGCAGCGTAATGCAGAGGAAAGCGGCCAAAAGAGTCTCTGGACAAGAGTGCCGAGCGCTGGTGCGGCTTTAGGCTGTCCAGCAAGAATGAGAGCAAACCGACAGACTCATCGTCTGTCCCAAGGAGCACGCTCGATTGCGACTCGGGCATCTTGCTTGCCGGAGGCATGTGGACGGGCGACTCTGCAGGAGAAATGAAGTTGGATCCATTCTTGATTTCCCAAGGGTTCGGCAAAAGGTTGCTCGAGGCTTCTTTGGGACTCCCGTTCTGTACCTCATTCGCCTTGGAGCGGCCAATCGCAATGACGAGGCGATGGATGCAGTTGCGCTTGTTGAGATCGTCCTCATCTTCCAAAGAATTGATGTGAGAAAGTGTCGTCTCAATGCACCGCTTTGATTTGCAGGTAATGGATCGCTGCAACAGGTTGCGCAGCAGCTTTTGGTAGCCCGAACTCGATTGGTCATCTCCGACGCTGGTGTCATGGAGTAGTTCCTCCAACTTTGAGCCATCGTCGCCGCGAATGGCTTGATCCACGGTATCCAGGAAATCAGAAGAGAGGTTCAGCATGGTCCTGGATGATACGCGTTTCAAAGAGCTCGTGGAATGAACCGAGCTCGCGTCGTCAAACACTTTGGTCTCCCCAAGTCCAGAAAGCCAATCATTGATGGCCTTCAAGTCCTGCTGAAGCTTGTAGTTGGTCGCGAAAGGTCTGGGGTCAACCTTTGAGGCCAAGTAGCGCTGCTGATTGTGTGTGGCGGGGAATTTCTTGTCCAGCTTCTTGGTGATCTTGACAAAACCCCTCCGGTTGACCTCTCCGTACCACTGCAGCTTGCGCAATTGTCCGCGGAGTTCGAGCAGAGCGCTCACCAGATCTTCGAGCTCGTCGCGGTCGATGCCGTCGGGGAAAATGGAGGCGCGATCATACCGGTCGTGCAGGAGCTTCAGGCGCCTCGCTGACTCTGCGTACTTTTTGTTGTAGAATCCGTCAACATCTTCGAGGTTTCGGTCGAGGAAGTAGAAGAACTCTAGAATCGAGTCAGTCAGAAGCGTACCAGCCGCATTCGAGGGTAAAGTGAAGCTACCTGCAAGATCGGCCTCGCGTCCTTTGTTCTTTGCAGTCTCGCCGGCAGACTTGATGAGCTTCTTCAGGCCCTTGTAGTCAATGTAGGCGGAGGCCCACTCGGGGACTTGGTTGCGGGGCAGATTGTGCCCAAACTTCATGGTGAGCAAGCACGAGTGAGGCGGCGAGGAGGGTGTTCAGGATAGGGTTTCAGGATGCTCCGGAAGAAGCAGTTGGGGAAATATATCACGGCAGGCGGACGCGGAAGGAGGATGAAAGGAGGAAGTCGAGGATGTTTTCGAAAGAAGCGGTTGCCGCGCACTCCATTCGCTCTCGAGGGGGGAAGACTGCTGTGCAAGGTGGTAAAGACTGGCGTCAGCGGAGGGTGGACGTGTGGTAGTGCTTGGTCGAGTGGTCGTGGCCGAGTCGGCGGCTCTCGTTGGTCAGAGCAGCAGAAGGCAGGGCCGGGGGCAGGTTCCTAAGCCCCGAGCAAAAGGGCCAGCTGCATCGTAGCAAAGCCAACGGGCCGGATGGAGGGATCGAGAGGGACCGCGGGTCTCATAAAGGAGACAGACGTGTGGGAGGGCGCGAAAAAGCTCACCAGTGCCGTGGTTAGGTCAGATTGCGCCGTGTTCCAGTCCCAGTCCGGATCGCTTCAGGTTCAGGTTCAGGTTCAGGGTCGGGTTCACGCCCGCGCAGGTCCAGGCCAACGTACCTCTGTCGTCGGAGAGGATAATTAGCGACGAGGAGGTCGGCGAGGTCAATATTTACATGGTTTGGGCCGACGACGTGGGCCGGTGACTAGTGACCGACAGCGCGCCCGATGCCGATGGCTCACTCAGGGCGTTACCAAAGTGGAACACAGCATTGCTCGCGTCCAGACTACGACTCCACCTGATTCTACCACGCGACCCCCATATCCTCTCTCTCCCTCCCTTACCTCCCGTCGTCACCGCCGCACTTATTTGGCTGCGCGCTTCATGCTCTGCCTCATGTCATCTGCCAGGGGTTGCGCTGCTCCTTGTTCCCCAGCACTTCCTTGGCCATTCCACCCTACAAACACCCACGCCAACCTCCGTCTCTCACTTCCTTCACCATCACGACTCCAATCACGACCCGCAGGAACCAGCCGTATCATCGACTCTTGCAGCACGCCCGTCAGCGCAACCGACCCACCTGCTGCTTAGACGAAGACGCATACCGAGCCCCTCCTGGCGCATGCACCAAGCAGCGACCGGCCTGCCACTCTGCGACCAGACAAGCAACCAATCGCATGCATGCCGGCCGCGCGCGCCTCCCACTGACAGATCACCAACTCCATACACGCTGCCAACCAACACCGCTCCGTCTTAGCAAGCCCGCCGCTTGGCCTTTTACCCAGGGTCGGACTGTTCAGATCCGACTCTCTCGCAACGCTCAAACACACCACTCCGAGAAGCAAGACAGGACAGGATGCTCGCCTCGGCCAAGCGACTTGGGGACAGGCAGAGCCCCAACACCATCACACGCGCCTAGACATCGGCGTTCCCCTTGCTAATCGCTCTTAGCTCCAGATCCCCAGGCACTGTCCCCCACGCGTTCCCTGCAACTTCATCGAACAATGAGACAGCTCGAAGCCCGCGCAACTCCACACTCGATATGAGAGTTTGACAAAAACGCTACAAGTCCAGAAACAGTACAAATCAACCCGGAGGTCTCATACAACTCGACGGGAAATCCCCGGCCGTCCCACCTCGTGCTCCAACTGCCGGCACCGACACAGCCTCACCAACCTACTCCCACCACACCTCACCTCGCTGGCACCCCACCGGCAGCCGCCCCCCCACCACCCACCTCCCTCCCCGTTCAGCCGCCGTGCGCCGCTACCAGCACGGTAGCAAGACCCTGATCGCCAGCTAGCGCGCTGCATGCCGCCGCCTCACAAATCATAAACAGACTTGGCGGATTCCTCCTCCAACAAGTTGGATAGCACCTTCCTAAATAGGAAGTTCTCTCGGTCGCTTAGCTCAGTTGGTTAGAGCGTGGTGCTAATATGGCGGTGGTCTATAGATCATCTCTTCAGTTGACGCCAAGGTCGCGAGTTCGACCCTCGTAGTGACCATCTTCTTTTGCCCCTGGTGCCCTTGGGGCCTCTCGTTTTGTCTGGCTGGCTGGAAGTTCGTTGAGGGGCCCACAGGAGCATGATGATGACGCTGCTGTTGCGCGAAACCTTGCGCCGGCTCCCAGCGGTGGCGACGGGATACGGTGGACCCTGATGATGTCGGTGGCAAGAGAGAGCGACGTTTTTGCTTTTGCTTCGGTCCGACACTGGGTCAGACGTGCGACTTTGCTGTCGTGTTCGGACAAGAAGCAGGAAGTGGCAGAGAGGTAGGTACTTAGGTTTCCCCCTCTGCTGGAAAGTACCGCGAGTTGCGGTCGGCTTGCTGGCCTTCCGGATCTGCCGAGCTGCCGCGTGCCGGTGAAAACTCAGGTTCCCACCAGAGACGCGACCGGTGGACTGGGGATCCACCCGGCCGGAACCTCGAGAAAGAAAGCGCGGCAAGGTAGGTGGGAGAGAAGGATGACGGATGAATTAGGACTGAGAGGTTACGCGGATGTGCGAAGCGGCGGGGCGGAGCGGACGGAGTTTGCTTTGAGTGGTGACTACCGCTGTCTAGACTTGCGATACGACTACAAGGTAAGGGATATGGAAGTAGAGGAGAAGGGGAAATGGAGAGGACAAAACTTGGGGCTCTGGCCATCAACGACGGTACTTGGGGCTTCCAGCAAGGAGGTAGAAAATCAGTCAGACACGAATTCCTTTGTTGCTGCGGCAAGATGCTCGGAGACTTCTCATCAATACTCTTCTTCTACCTGCCCCTACCGCCAGCACCAAGCTCATCCGCAAACTACGGTACTGTGGGCTGGACGCGAAGCGAGCCTCTCCCAATGCTTGCATGGCGCATGATTGCTATACCACCTTGCTCACCACCACTGGATAATCAAGTCTCCATTGGCATGTAGGTCGTTGAGTGTATGGATTTGTACAACGGTGCCTTCCCATCTGATAGGCACCTCGTCTTCAATGCTATTCATCTCTCTTCATCTCTCTTCAACATCATCGTCGTCATCGTCATCTATCCCTCTGTCTCTCCCTGCTTCTCTCTCCTCTCTTCCTCTCTTACGCCAAGCATGCGAGCGTACTTGCATACAAACAATCAATCTATGCTCCTTCACCCTCATCACTTTCTCTTTCTCTGCTACTCATCTCCCACCTGTCAACCACAACCATGATGATTTGACCCCTCCCTCATCCATCCACCCGTGCATCCATCAATTTTCCCATCCCAAACAATCCGCACCCGCGCCCCCTAAGCCCAAAACGAGTAAATCAATCAACGAGAAAATAAAAAGAACAAGGGAACTCGTCACTGACAAGGAGAAGATGGCCGTCCTATGCGTGCGTGCGTGCGTGCGTGCGTGCGTGCGAACGCATGTCTTTGCTCTCTAGCCGAAGCTGCAAAAGGAATAGGAAGAGGAAAAAAGATGATGGGTACCAAGGCATGGCAAGGCAAGGCAAAGCAAGGTACCTTAGTCAAGCAGGCAGGCCGTTACGACAACAAAACGATCCCTAACCGTGATGGCAGATAGCAGATAGCAAAAAGGCACACCACCGCCGCCGCCCCCAATCCAAGGGGGGGGAAATCCTCATTTGGCGTGCGTGCATGCGTGCGTCATTCGTGTGCGGGGGAAGCCAGAGACCGGAGGCGGGAAGAAGTGCAGCCCACGGGGCTTGAGAGATGTGGAAGAGGAAGAATAAGGAGGAGGATGAGAAGAGGAGAAAGCATATGCATGCATGCATGCATGCAAGGAAAGATGTCAAAAAAGAAGCCGCTCCTGAGCTCCTGAGTCGCCTAGAAGGGGGCAGAGCAGAGCAGAGCAAAGGATATGAAACGCCAGACCCAGCAGCAACCAAACGAACAACCAGCCAGCCAATCAACGAACAAAAAGACAACTCATAGCTCGCCATCACCAAGGCCTGCTGCTTCTTCTTCTTGTTCTTGTTCTGCAGGCGGCGGCAACGGGACTCCTTGTTGTTGTTGTTGTGTCTGTCGTTGTGGTTGCGGCGCTGCGGCCAGCGGGCCAAACGACCCCTCAATGTCCGACTGGTCGAGCGTGCTGACGAACGCGCGCCGCACAAACTCATACCACACGTGGTGTTTCGGCTTAGGCTTCTTCTTCCCCTTACCCACGCTGAGCCGCGCGTCAACGTCATCAGCCTCGCGAGCGCCCTCGCCTTCGGTTGCCGAGGAAACCTCCTCCTCCTCCTCGTCTTGAGGCGCCACGGCGGCGGCGGCGAACCCATCCTTGCCAAAGCTGCCGATGCGGTGGGCGAGGTTGATGTAGCTGCGCACGGTGAGGTCCGGCAGCTTGTACTCGTCGTCCTCGTCGAAGGTCGAGTATTCCTTCTCGAACGCAAACGGTTTGGGTTGCGGTTTGCCCGGTTTGGGCTTCTTGCCGCGGTGCTTGCCCTCGCGCCAGCGCTGCGAGGTGAAGCCGTCGCCGTAGTCGTGCAGGTCGCCGCCAAGCGCGCCACCGCCGCCGTCTTCGTCGGCATACAGGCAGGATGTGGGATTCGACGAGACACATTGCGGCGCGTCATCTTCTGCATCTGTGGCGCTGGCGGGAATGGTGGCGGCAAAGTCGTTGTTCAGTCGGGTCAGGTTGGCAAAGTATTGCGTGTACCCCACGAGCGAGAGGGTTTGCGGAGAGTAGGCCGGACCAGGAGGCGAGGATTTCGAGGGGCCCTCGGGGACCGTGAACTTGTACTTTTTCTTCTTCAAAGCCTTGCCCTTGCCCTTTTTGTTGTTTCTCTTTTTCTTCTTCAGCTCTTCGAAGTCTTCGTCTTCAGTATCGGAGTCCGCAATGTCTTCCCCGGACTGAAGCTCTTGCGAGGCTTCAGAGCGGGCGGGTACGGGAGCTCCGACGCTTTCTATGCCAGTAATGTTGTACTCGATGACCCTCATCGACGGGAAAAAGTTTGGAATGATGCTTGCGCCCACGATCGAATGGCCGTATCGCTCGCCAAATTTACCACCGATGCCCTCCAAAAAGTCCGAGTCGTCATTTGGTGGAGTTTGGACGTCTTCCTTGCCAAAGAGCCCTTGGATTGCCTCGAGCAACGACGTTTGATTCCCAGCGGGAGCCGCGGAGTCGGTCGGTTTAACAGGCCTAACTGGAGCGGGAAGTGTTGACCACGCATTCCGCAAGTCTACCAAATAGTCTTCGGCGCTTTGCACAGAAATCTCGTCCTCTTCGGCGGCTGACAGCCTTGGCTTCATCGACCCCTTCATCTTGCCCCTTCGAACACTGTTCTTGATGTCCGAAAAGTCGTGCAGGATGAAGTGGTCAATATTCATGTGGCCATACATGGAAGTAATGATGATGTCGCGGTGTTGCTGCATCCAAAAGGTGTACTTTTGCCAGCAGGTCTCGTCCCAGCTCTGCTTGTTCGCGGTCCGTGCCGGCGGGACGTGTCCGATCAAAATGACCTTCATGCCACGGTCGCGGAAGATTTGGAGCTGAATGCGCAGCCATTCAAAGTGTTCATAGCCCGGTTCCGAGTCCATGGCGCAGCCATCCACACCCGAGTTGGAGTCGAAAAAGTACCTGCGTGACGTCAGCGATCGTCTAATTTAAGCTTATGAGATCGGATATGCGGCGTGTCGAGATCTCGGCTTATTGTCTGTACTCGGCCATGTTTGCCGCGGGAACACGAAAAGTTTCGAAACGCGTTCGACAGTCGGTGCCTGCCACGCGACCGAGCACGAGGACAGTCGGGAATGCCGGAGGGGCGGTGCGTGTCACTCACATGGTGTTCAGGCTGACGACGGCCAATTTGTTGGGGATGGCCTCGACGTAGAACCACCCGCCCCGCTGGAACTGGTGCCGCTGCTCCTCGGGAATAAAATTTCGCCAAATGTGCAAAAAGTTTTGGGTCCACCGATTGGGGCCCTCCAAGAAAATGTTGTGTGGTAGAATGTCATTGTTACCCACGGTCGGAATAATGGGGATTGTGAAGTCGTTGGTAGGGTCGTCATCATCGTCGTCTCTTCGGCCAAAAACTTGTCGAAACTTGTCCACGATGAACTCGTTTTGCGCGACAACCTGGGCCTCGGTGCGCGGAATTTTGTCGTCATTGTCGTGGCGTGCCGAGTCGCCTGTCCACACGATGAAGTCGATCTGATCGCGAATGTTCTGGTCGATCCAATCGAATGTGGCATTGATGAGAGACAAGGGGCTGTCGCAGCCCGATGTTTCAGCTCCGTAGTATCCTGCGGGCCCAGTGCCGCGGTGGCAGGCGGCATCGGAAGAGGTGGAGGAGTATGTTTCGTAGTAGGGGTCGGGATGGAAGTCTGGAGAGGGCAGGTCAGCGGTAGGAGAGCATTGGAGGGGCTGGGAGCGCGCAGACCGGTGATGTGGAGGAAACGGCCAGTCAGCGGGCGCGGGGGCTGTAAGGCTGCATGTTGTGCGCTAGCGGGCGGGAGTGCCTGGCTGATCTGCCCGCCCACAACGAGCATCAAACCCAAGGTCGCGCTCGCGGAGGGGGTCATGAGGGAGGGAGAGGGGAGGGATGGGGACGCGGAGAAGAGAGACAATGGGCGAGGAATGGTGAATAGAAGAGGGTGGAGTCTAAGAATATTTCAGCTGTAAAGAGTTGGGACACGCGCCCCCCACGGCCTGTCGAATGGTAAGCGTGTCCGCCAGACAGGAGCGACGTAGCGTTTTGACGTCCTGCCTCGTGCGCCAAGCTGCGTCTGCCATTCGTGCAAGCGGCCCGCGGGTGATGTCACTGGCCCTCAAGGTGCCCGTTTCGCAGTAGTCCAGGTCACCCGCTCTCCAGAAGTGATTGCTCATCCTCCACCACCCCGTCCGCCTCTCTCCAGCTGCCAAGATTAATCCCGCATTCCCCAGACTCCATCATCTCCAGTATGCGACGCCCGCCACTCCTCCTCCCGTGGCGGTGGCGCTCACCACCTGCCCTGCCGGCGTTTCGTGTCATGCCTCTCACGTGTACCGCGCTAGCCGTCTGCATCCATCCGCTCTCCTTTGTCTCATCAA